GTTTTCTCTAGCACTCACAGCTTGGGCCAGGAATGAAGAAAACAAATAGGTAGGAAATCCAGGATTACGTATTAGACACCCATGTGTGTGGCAGAAGGTTAAGGGACTGAGAAAATTTTCTTTTTCTTCAAGTTTTTTCCAGCTTAATTGAAGTATAATTGGCAAATAAAATATATATATTTAAAGTGTATAACGTGATGATTTGATATATGTATACATTATGAAATAATTATGACAGTAAGGTTGATTAACATATTTACCATCTCACATAGTTACCTTGTTTTCTTGGTGCTGAGAATGCTTAAGATTACTCTTCTTATCAATTTGAAATATACAATATAGTATTTTTAACTATAGCTACCGTGCTGTACATGAGATCCCCAGAACTTATTCATCTTATAAATGAAGACTTGTACACTTTGACCAGCATCTCCCTGTTTCCCCCACCCAGCTTTCTCAGTGATGTAACAAACATGAACTATGAAGTCTATGATTAGAAGGACGTAAAAGAAAGAAAAAAATAAAAGATGAGCATATTTCACTTGGATCTAGGAATGGATGTTTAATGGACTAGGTCTTTTTTATTTTATTCATTGATCCATCAAATAATATCTACCATACTACGGACACCATGCTAGGTAACTTGGTTTATAACGTAAACAAGTAGAGCCTGTCCTTGCCTTCATGGAACTTACAGTCTGGTGAGGAAGACAGATGCCAAACAATTGGAAGTTACAGAAAGGGGGAAATCAGGATCTTCAAAGACCATTATGGCTTTTAGACGTTTCTCCTCTTCTCTCACTACACCCACAGTGCCTGCACAGTTAATACAGTAGGCACCATGAGTCGCATGCTAGGGAATCTTGAAGACATTAGTGGGCTCCTTTCCTATCTCCTTTGCCTCCCTTCTTCCACATCTAGAATGGCACAGCAACAGCTGAGTTAATGCTTGCTAACCACCTGTATCAGCAATTTTTAGTCAGACCCACCAATTTAACAATAGTTTCTCCTTATTCTTTTAGTTCTCCCCTCAGAATATATCTGAGGAACTTTATGGAGAAAAGGAAAATGATGAAGCTAAATTTGAAGGTAAGAATAGAAAATAATTGAAAGCAGTCAAGATGGGAAAAAAACAGAATTGGAGCAGAATGATAGTTTTGAAAGTTACATTACATATGACTTGCTTGAAACTGAAGAAATTTCTGTGGAAGAAATTTAAAGTATAATTAATGGATACATCCCTCAATGGATTTTATGTGGTTGAAGCATCTAAGTTCAGTTGTTCTTCAGAATAATAAGACTTCCTCTTTGGGGAAAATGAGAGAACTCTGAATTTCACAGTGAGACTTTTCTAGGCAAATTGGAAAAGGCACCGAAAACCCTGAATTTTTGGCATGTGGCTTTCTCAAGAGAAAAAGAGATATTCATAGTGAACATACCGTAAGAATCTGCCCTGACGTAAGGCAGTCTGGCAAAAACATGTCAAAACGTGAACAACTTTCTGTTGTGCGGGAGCAACTGGATCATAGTTTCTTTTTTTTTTTGGTACGTGGGCCTGTCACTGTTGTCCGGACGCACAGGCTCAGTGGCCATGGCTCACGGGCCCAGCCGCTCCGCGGCATGTGGGATCCTCCCGGACCGGGGCACGAACCCGTGTTCCCTGCATCGGCAGGCGGACTCTCAACCACTGCGCCACCAGGGAAGCCCCATAGTTTCTTTTTAAAAGTATCTTAGAGGACTAACGCAGACACTTTAAAAATACCCATTGGTAAAAAAAGATGATGCTGGACTTTTACTCTACTGACAAACAAAAAAAGATTCATTCAAGGAGGACCAAGATTTCAGATTTCTCAAGTTGTACTACAGTGGTCTTTGGCCATAACATAGGATGTGATCAAATCTTATAAGGATGCCATGAAGCTGGCAGCAGTCACTAGATATCGGGATGCAGTACCCATCAACATCTGCGTAGCTTGCAGTGGTCATTATAAGATGAAGGATTTGAGCCAGTTCAGTCCAGCCAGAGGTAAATCTGTTTAAGAAAGGAGTAGTGTTCTATAAAATCTGAATGGCACCTACTGACGACACTTTCAATCACCAACTTGAAAGAGGGAGCAACAATAACTTGGGAATTTGTAACAAATGTATTCTGCAGGCAAGAATAAAAGATTGTTGGTTTTCAGAAATAAGTAAATTAGTGAAGGGACATCGAGATGATATTAAAGCAAACAGTGATGCTGTCTTAAGGCAACAAAGTACAGTTTGAACCATCCACTGAAAATATAGAAAATGCTATTAGCAGCAATAAAAATCCAGTCTCCAGCACAAATGGGATTAAATATAAAAATTGCCATTTTGTCTAGGATGAAGACAGTGGCAACCATTCTTCTCCCAAAAGCTGCTCAGCAAGTAGTTTATCTCCAAAGATTATGAAGCCTTGTCCACTGAGTCAGAAGATGTAGAAATGGAGAACACACTTCCTGAATTTCTCAAAATTTAACAGTTGGATGACAGTTTTAAAACCATTCTGTGAATTTGGTTGCAACTGAGATGGGAAAAGGAGTTGATTTCACCTAGGAAGAAGTAAAAGGAGGAGGAGGAGGAAAGGAAAGGAAATTAAAATAAAAATTACAAGAGTGATGGAGTGTCCACTACTCTACTTGGTCCTGCAGTGGAGGCAAGTTTCCCTGCAAAAGTAGCTTAGGCATGTGAAGAATATCTTGATAGTCAGAGAATTGATAGTCCAAAAACTCCAAGGTTACAAACAGTTTGCTTAGCTGCTGGATAACTATCTTAACTTGGGAGAGAGATTTACTAATAGGATTGTTGGGGATGCTACATAGCACAGCTCCTGGGGGCACCATTCACATCTTACTCTATCTGAACAGAGCTCCTTTGAGTCATTCAAGATGGCAATCCTGCAGGACTCAACCCTTCCCACACAATTCCCTGAGGGTAGACAGGGAACAGCATCAGTTCCTTAAGGTATGATAAGACAGTGTGGAGAGGCTCTGCCCCTCCAATCCTCCCAGGAAAGGGATGCAAGGAAAAGAGCCCCTAGGACTCCTCCTCATAGCAGAGTAGCTTAATTGCCTCAGCTTTGCACTTCTGAAGCACTTAGTAGGCTTACGTATAATATAGGGGAAGCTGGAGGTTCCCAGCCCTGGGTGGGAGTCACTTAAGTCGTCTTGCTCCTTCAGGCTTTTGGAACTCAATTGGAGGAGCTGGAATCCTTTTATGATACTCTGTCACAAACTGAGGTTCCAGTGGTGAGCAGTTGAGGCCTCAGACAGATAGATGACTTCTAATTTAAAATGCATAATAATAAAGGAAAAATTTTAAAGAAAGAATATGACCTGTAATTCCACTATCCTCACATAATTTTTAGCTTTTGCATAATGCTTTCTCTACATTCCTTGTTGTATACTTAGATATATATTTTACTTAGTTGAAACATACTGTTCAGGGACTTCCCTGGTGGCACAGTGGTTAAGAATCCACCTTCCAATGCAGGGGACATGGGTTCGAACCCTCGGCCAGGAAGATCCCACATGCCACGCAGCAACTAAGCCCGTGCACCACAACTACTGAGCCTGTGCTCTAGAGCCTGCGAGCCACAACTACTGAGCCCTCATGCCACAACTACTGAAGCCTGCGCGCCTAGAGCCCGTGCTCCGCAACAAGAGAAGCCACTGCAATGAGAAGCCCGCGCACTGCAAAGAAGAGCAGCCCCCGCTTGCCACAACTAGAGAAAGCCCACGTGCAGCAACGAAGACCCAATGCAGCAAAAAATTAATTAATTAAAAAAAAAACATACTGTTCATATTCATTGTGTATGTACATTTAACATCACATTTGTCTTATTTTTTAATAGCACACAAATGTTAATGGATAACACTGATGTGATTTTGAAAAGCATTTAAAGAGAATATCTAGTTTCTCTCAAAATCGGTAGTATAGATTTGTGCTCTCCGAAACAGTAGTCACTAGCCAGCCACACATGGCTAATGAGCATTTGAAATGTGACTATTCTGAAATGAGCTGTGCTATGCGTGTAAAGTATACACTGAATTTTGAAAAATAAAAGTAAGTATAAAATATCTCGAATAATTTTTATGCTGATTACATGTTGAAATGGTAATACTTTGGATATATTGAGTTAAATATATCATTTAAATTAAGTTCACCTATTTCTTTTTACTTCTTTTAATGTGGCTACTAGAAAATTTTTAATTACATATGTGGCTTGCATTATATTTTTGTTAGACTGCACTGGTATAGATTATCATACACTGCTATGAGATCTTAAAATCGAAAAAGAAACTAAAATTGCAGCCATAAGGAAATGGTTAAATCATCTTTGGTGTATTCACTAGGTACAATATTGTGCAGCTTTTAAAGTTATAGACACATGAATATGTGTGTGTTTGTGTGTGTGTAATGTTATATTAAGGCAAGAAAGTGTGGTATAAAGTTATAAAAATATTTTAAAAACCTAAGATTTTTCCAGAATGCTAATATGCTAACTAGAGATATGTTTAGAAGGAAGGTAGAATTACAAAGTGAAGTTTTCTTTGTTTTCAAATTTAAAAGAGTGCCTTTGTGTCTTTGTCACATGAGATATATTAAAGCTAAAAAACTTGGTTTTTTATTAAAGAAGATCACTGGGTGACACTGATTCATAGGCTTAGATCTAGGTAAATAAGGAGATGGTGATGTATTAGTTTTCTCAAAGTGGTATGGGGGAGAAAGGACAAGCCAGCTATATCTTCTCTCCCACTGCAAAGTGGGAATGAGAAAGTGAAACACCAAAGGACAGGATGGTTGGTAAAATATACTGTTTGTAAAGGAATGAAAGCATGAAGGAGGACCATTTACATCTTTTACCACTTTGAAAAATATAAAGAAAAGGATTAGAAAACTGAATCAAAGATGCTTTCAAAAGAATTAAAGCTCTGAAAGTGCCTGATCTTGCTGAATATTTTTTTCTTCATTCATAGATTCATGGTGTTGCTATCTAAAGTTGAGAAATCATCAGACGAATTCATGGAAATAATGCAAAATTTAAGTAATATACAGGTTTGCTTTTTTGGCATATAATTTTTCATATTCTATTACCCTATTTGAAAAAGAATAAGAGAATCCAATCCCAGAAAGAACTTACAGGGGATACGTTCGATTTACTTTTCATGGGAACTTCTTTTCATATATGAACATTAATTAACCATAATATTTTAGTAATATCTGGCTTCTTCACATTTAAAAGTAAATTTATTAATTATGTTTAGTCTTTTTAGTTAATGAATTGTTTTTATTCGGGTATTTTAAGGCTTGCAATAGTTAACCTAACAGAAAAAGTTAAATTTCATTATCATAGAGTTTAAGTTTTTCATATGAAGGAAGCAGTATACTGTATTTTCACTAGACTTGTCAGTAGTATTATATATGTAGAGAACTTAACTCATTTAAGATGACTTTCTTTTAGGCTTTGGAGGACAGTAGAGAGCTTGAAAATCTCATTGGTATCTCCCATACATCAGGTGTCTTAAAAAGAGAAATGCAGAAAACAAAAGATCTACGTAAGAGAAATTTATGAGTTTTTGATCGTGTCTCTCTATTACTTGTTTGCAAACTTAGAACAGGAAGCCACATATCTTTTGCCAGGATATATTATTTCAGGGATTCTTCTTGAATGTGAAGGGAAAGAATGTACCTTGGTAACTGGTATTAGGCTTTTTTTTAATGCAGTTCTCATTCTTTACAAAAGATATAAGGTATTGCATTTTATACTTGATATTTATAAGTATGTATTGCTCGAAATTATTTCTTATGAAGTTGTTTCTTCCAAAATGAGAAATTATTTAATATTCTGTATTAATTTTTAATGTGAGATTTTTTTTCCTTTAGTGACAAAAGTAACAAAACAAAAACTATTTGAAAAGAAGAATTCAGGACTTCCCAACAAAGGTGAGAGTTGTGTTTTAATTTATTACATAAAGAGATCCTTTCATCTCATTTTACCATTTCAACCAATTATCATGGACCCTTTTTTTAAAAGACCACGAATCTCATTTGAAAAACATTATATTGCATTTAGCAAAAGACCGTGTCTGGTAAGATCAGCTTACCTGATGACTGAACTTTTGAAATACAATTTCCGGTTCAAGAGTTAAATTTTTTCTTCTATTAAAAGTTCTTTTTGAGAATACAGACAAATGGGGCAACAATGCATTAATATATGGCAACTTTTAATGGTGAATTAGAAAGATCCACAAAACAAAAAAAGTTACTTTGTAACCAGTGTTCTGAAAACTTTCAGATTATTAATGACATTTGATCTACTGTGAACTCACACCTTGGGGCATTTCACAGTATGGGAAGCTAAATCAGCAGATTTTAAGTTCTCATAATACATGCACATTCATACCTCAGTAAGCAAAATACTATAAAATATTAAAACCATTAGACCAACTTAAGAGGGATGATTTTAATATTACTGACATGAATGCCATTTGGCAATCTCTGCAGATAGAGGTAGCCCTGAAGTGGATAGCCATGTTTTAGTTTACCATTTTTGAGTACCAATGACTACCATTTGTTGAGGACTAATAATTACTGTGTTCCCAATACTAGAATCAGCAGATCATTACAACAACCCTGCAAGATAGCTATTATTGTCATTATAGATAAGGAACAAAGACACAGAAAAATATTAAGTAACTTGCCCAAAGACACTGCTACTTAAGTGTCAGAGCAGGGATTCCAACTAAAGACCAGTCTTACTCAAAAAGTATGGTCTTTGCATTTTTCCATGTTGTCTCTTCCTAAAACAAATGAAATCATCCAGTCATCCCTGCTCTCAGATTCAAACATAAGGCATAACTGAAACTGGTTCAACCAATCTAGTATGTTAGTCTGTGTTTAGGATCTTTAACAAAGCCAGCGATGAGTTTGCAGTGGAAAGAGCTAGATTCCCTGCTGGTCAGTTCCAAAGGCCAACTGGGTCGTGGCAGGGCAGCAGCCATGGAAAAACTCCTCCAAAACTCATGTGGGAAGGGAACTGAGCAGGCTTCCTGAGCCATTCAGTTGGGCAGCTCCCATTAGGGTCCATAGAATTTAAGAGCATGAAGGCAGCTCTTTCCTTAAAAAAGGCTTGAGATCTCTTCTGATGCTGTGTAACTGGATTATAATGTGTAACTGGTTTTCAGTGGTTTTAATCTCTACTAACTTGACAAGTTTTAGAGGATCATAATGGGAAATTGGAATATTTATTATTTCCCAACTAGAGGAAATCTTTCTTCTATATATTCTGTGGCAATGGTGTAATTTTTTTTTAATCTGTAATTTCCTAGAACTAATTAGAATTAGGCTTTACATTAGGCTTGTGAGGAAGGGAAAATTGTAGAACAAATAGGTGAACTGTCACTGCTAATAATTAATGGGAAAAAATTTCCCAAAAGTAGTTTCCTTCCCTAAACATTGATTAAGACATTAAAGTTATTTCCACATGTTAAAACAGTCATCTCCTTTCAGTTATCCAGTACATACTGATTCTTTGTGTGTGTCTTCATGATCAGCCTTAAAACCATTTTCTAGTATTTTAGGCATTAAAACTGACTTGCCCATTACCAGGTGTTCCCTAAGAACTGAGTGTTCATGCATAGAGGAGATTGTATCACTAAATCATGTTTTAAAGTTTCTAATAAGCATTGATTATTTGTTGTGGTTTAAATGAAAACTGAGCTAAGATATATTAAATATATAATATTTATATAAATTATATAGAAATATATATATGAAAATATGTCATTTTCCATTTCTGTTTCTTGGCAAGAGCTACATTAGCTCTTAATATTTACTGAGGTATTCAAATCTTCATTAGTGTATCAACTTATATTTTAAAGTAATATTGCCTGAAAAGTAGATTGAATTTTTTAATTTGAATTTGAGCTAAATATTTTTACGGAATACTTTTCCCTGTTCTTTTCTCTGGTTCCTAATATGTGTATTTTTTAATATTAGTGGGATTTTTTTTTTCGGTTAAAGGTGATGGACACCAAACACATGCATGTTATATGTAAATTTCTTTGCTAAGTTAACTTTCACCCCCTTCTATTCATACATTTATTATTTAAGAGGGCTTTGTTAGTTTTTTTGACAGTTCAAACTATTTGCTTTATATATTCCTTATTTGGGGATCTAGCCTTCATCTTTTTATAAAAATTTCTAATTTACTCTTTTCTTTTACTATGCTGTTACCCAGAATTATTTAAATTTTAAAATGTTTTGAGAATCTCCATAATATTAGAAACTATATAGTCACAAATTACATAATATAAAAATCAGCCCTATGTTTTGGATTTGTTTTATTAGGTAATTATGAAAATGAAAATAAACAGATTACTTGTTTCACTATCAAAAGAATGTCCTTCAGGGCTTCCCTGGTGGCACAGTGGTTGAGAGTCCGCCTGCTGATGCAGGGGACATGGGTTCATGCCCCGGTCCGGGAAGATCCCACATGCTGCGGAGCGGCTGGGCCCGTGAGCCATGGCCGCTGGGCCTGCGCGTCCGGAGCCTGTGCTCTGCCGGAAAGGCCACGGCAGTAAGAGGCTCACGTACTGCAAAAAAAAAAAAAAAAGAATGTCCTTCAGATTTTTATCAAATTTTCCCAGAATAGTTAAAATACACAATAACAGAAGAATTCCAACATTTATGCTGTCATTGCACCTTTGAATTGGTCCTTTAGTTCTGTTTATTGTTTTTCATTTCAGTGCTTGTTTGTTTAGCATCAGTTGCAGTCTTTATTACAGGCAGAGAAGTATAATTGTAAAGATAAGACTCTAGTGTTTTAATTAAATAGACATCTGACACACATTCTAAGCCTTTATATAAACTATTCCAGGGAAATTTAAAACATACACAGTAACATGAAAAGGTACACTGAGATTTTCATAGTTTTCAGAACTGGACCTTACACATTAGGGAATGCCTTGATAGAGCATATGAATAAAGAGGACCTCCTTTGCTAACTACAAATTTCTTAAACAAAGGAAGGCTTCTTTCTTTTTTCAGTTACTTAGGAAGTAAGCCTAACTTCACTTTCCTTAATAATATTGGCTTTATGACTATTAGAAAAATAATGAAATGAAAGGTTCTTTTTCTGTTATATTTGGATGTGAATTTTCAAAATTATTTTTAATTTGTTATGCTGAAGATTTAAAACATATGACCATTCAATGGGTTGATACAGATGGAATGTCACATTATCATCACATGGGAAGGCATGAAATTTATTTACTTTGCATAATCAACCCCTACATAAAACAACTTGATACAAATATTCCTGAGACAATAGATGGCATTATATTGTACTTGGTATTTTCATTTTTTCTGGAGATATTAGAAAATACCAGCATTGTTTGTCTGTGACTAGTACTTCCAGTAAACAAAATGTTTTTTAAAAGAATGTAAGCAAATTATAGAGCAGTTGCCAAGATATGAAATCTAGACACTTAAGATATGAAATCTAGACACTTAGCTTCAGTCCAAAACATATTTTATCTGTTTTGAGAATAATTGTGTAGGTTGAAGTATGCATAATTTAAATGAAATGTAACCATCTGAACTTTACATTGTTCAAAAAAGTTGATTGTTTCAGCTGTTTATAATACAAAATATTTCAGAATTTCTAGCTCTGGCCTTAAAAAGAAAAAAGCACAAACTATCATGTTCTGGCTTTCTTTAGCTAACTTACTGTCTTCTTTCATTGTAAAATTCATCTTGGTTATAGGATTTTGAAGTTTTCAAATTCTTGGACCACAGGACAAATTTTAAACTCCTTCTGTTCTAAGACTATAAAATAGTTTGATATTGCCTTTTCATTCTAACCACCCACTGAAGTATTTTTTAGCTTAAAAATATGTTGTTCTTTCCCCCACTCAGTCTTGAAAAAGTATTCATCATAACAGCTAAATAATTTTACTCCTAGAAAACTTCTACCCTTTTTTTTTCTGTTATATCTTAACATTAAGCAATATCTTTTTTCAAACAAATACTCCAATATTAAAAGCACTGAGGTTTAGACATGATGAATTTTAGGAGAAACAACAAAAATTCCCCTATGCTTTAACATTCTTATGTTTATGTTAACATTCTTATGTTTATCTCCAGATAAACATTAGTTTATCTGGAGATAAAAAATAGAGATGTTAGTTTTGGTGACACAAATACACATTAATGTACAACTGTAGTCCTCAACTCTTTATAAGGATTCAGTTGTCACATATGCTGTATGTGGGTCATACCTTTTCCTATTAATAAATGTTCATGCTTTTGCTTTACACTATTCATCACTTTTAGAGCTACATTTCGACTGCTTACTTGAGATTTGTCTAGGATTTAAGGAAAAACAAATTGGTTTATTACTTTTCAAAGCCTTTTAAATAATTTCTTCCAAGATTTAATTTTTTTTATACTTTACTAGAAGTATGATGCTTTTATCTTTTAAATAATTAGGTAAAAAATTTTAAACCATAGATTTTAACTCATTTAATAGCAATTATGTGTTTAAGAGGTGTAAATATAGTAAATAACTTGCTATCGGACATTACAAATATCCAGGTGCTCTGTATGTGCTGATGACAACAAAATTGAAACGAAAGACAGTAATAATTCTGACTGGTTTTCTCTGCAGAAGATATTGATTATTTGTGTGTGGTGAGAGATTTGGAAAATTCAATTAAAGGAGTTGTGCAAAGGTTTCATAAATTTTCCTTCTACAGCGTGTACACAGACATTGTTGCGTATTAAATCAATGCAGCACTTCACAATATATTTTCTTTGAAACATAAAAATAAATAACATTTAAACAGTTCTGCTTACTACAGAAACAAATTTTATTTTCTGTGAAGCATTTAGTCATGTGCTATCACTGACTCATACACATTTGCCAGCTGTAACAAATTTTA